GAGTTATAATATGCATTTGCCTGATGACTAAGAATATTGAACATTTCTTCAGGTGTTTCTCAGCAACTTTATATTCATCTACTGAGAATTCAGTTTAGAGGTATATCCCATTATAAATGGATTATTTGGTTTGATGTCAAGATTCTTTAGTTCTTTATATCCTGAGTAAGTCAAACATGGTATGACAAACATGGTATGTACTCACTTATAACTGGATATTAGTAGTTCAGTAAAGAGATATCACAGTAATCACAGTTAATCACAGTAAAATCCGTAGATGCAGAGAGGCTAAATAATAAAAAATAGCCCTAGGAGAGATTTGCGTCTCTCCCTTGGAAGGGGAAATAAAATAGATTTTTTTGGTGCACTGATGGCAAGTTGGGATGAGAACAGGAAGGATCAGGTGAGTAAGGAAGGGACAGAGAGGGAGAAGGTAGGGAAAGATAACTGGAATAGGAGAGCATATACCAGGGGTTATGAAAATAGAGCAGTGCAAACATCCTGGAACATAGACTGGAGAGATGGCTCAGTCGTTAAGAGCATAGACTGCTCTTCCAGAGGTCCTGAGGTCAATTTCTGGCAACTACATGGTGGCTAACAACCACCTGTAATAAGATCTGGTGCCCTCTTCTGGCCTGCAAGGACACATGCAGAAAGAACACTGTATGTATAATAATAAATAAATAGTTTTTTTTAAGAAAAAAAGGCTGGAGGTGGTGGCACATGCCTTAAATCCCAGCACTCGGGAGGCAGAGCCAGGTGGATCTCTGTGAGTTCAAGGCCAGCTTGGGCTACCAAGTGAGTCCCAGGAAATGTGCAAAGCTACACAGAGAAACCCTGTCTCAAAAATCCCCCCCCAAAAAAAAAGAAAAGAAAAGAAAAGAAAACAGTGCAATGTAAACAACCTGGAGCCTGGGCTGGGAGATGGCTCAGTAGTTAAGAGCACGGACTGCTCTTCCAGAAGTCCTGAGTTCAATTTCCGGCAACTACATGGTGGCTCATAACCACTTAAAATGAGATCTGGTGCCCTCCTCGGGCCTGCAGGGATACATGCATGCAGAATACTGTATACATAATAAATCTTAAAAAAAATCCTGGAATTTATAAGGGTGACCCTAGTTAGGACTCCAAACAATTAAGAATATGGAGGCTGAACTAGCAATTTTCTATAACTACATAAGGCTCCAGTGATGGACCTGGGACACCAAGCCAGCGATAGAACATTCAACTGAAACTTGACCTGCCTACAAGGTATGCTGGGTAAAGGGTGCCAGGCCATCAGCTCATGAAATTTTCACAGTCCCTCCATTCCAATAAGTCTTGTCGGTCTTCATTCCCAACACTTCAGTGATTAAATGCGTAGAAATTACAAAATCACTCCGCCTACTACAATCAGGTCCTGCTTTTTTTTTTTAATAATGGTGACTTCAACAGCTTATTACCTAACCTGTTTTCCCCAGTAGTGTGCACAATAAACTATTCCTTCTATTCTGGTCTGAAGGCTGAAACCATGCTCCACATGCAAATCCTTTTCCTTTTACAACAATGGATATTAAATTGGATGACTCAAATGGGTAGTTTTTAAACCTGAAGGTGATACAATCATTCAATTTAAGATTTTGCAGCTGTAATATAGAGGGCAGCAAGATCACAGACCTGGAGAGCAACATACTGGGACCACGGCCATTTGTGTCAACATAAGAGAGCTTGTGTCAGAAACATTTTTCTAAGAAGATTAAAATGCAAGTGTCCTAGAATCAATATGCCTTCCAAGGGAGAAATCACTGTGCACAATTAAGAGATTAACAAGGAAAAATCTCTTTAATGAAAGCATGCATCCATCTCTGGCTAATGCTCAAAAAGGAGCCATCCTAGAAGAGGTCTTGCATTCTACATATTCTATCATCCTTGTGACCTTTGGATTGAGGCTCCAGATTACACTTTGAGTAATTAAAATTGGGACCAAATACTGCAACTCCACCCACTTAAACAGACGGAAGACTTACACAGCAAAGACATTTCCAAAATTATTTCTTAAATAACCCAGTGATATGAAACAGTAGGATCTTCTTGAGTAACAGGATTCGGAGGTGAAGGGGATAAGAAAGAGAGAAAAAGAATGAGGCAGAAAAGGTAAAAGCTTGGGTCAGAAGGTCTTGTACAATCTATGTCTCATGTCAACTCAGCTCCTTTTTCAAAAAGGATTTATTTATTTATTTATTTACTTATTTACTTACTTATTTATTTATTTATTTATTATGCATCATACAGTATCCTGCCTGCATGTATGCATGCAGTCCAAAAGAGAGCATTAGGTCTCACTATAGATAGTTGTGAGCCACTATGTAGTTGCTGGGAATTGAACTCAGGACCTCTGGAAGAGTAGTAGCCAGTGCTCTTAACCTCTAAGCCATTTCTCCAGCCTCAACTAAGCTTTTTAAGAAGAATAGCAACTTGTATACTACTTCCAGGGGGGAAATGGAAGAAAATGGATGACTTTTATGAAGTCAGCAGAAACTATCACACAATGGGAAAATTCATGATCTGAAGCAACCCCACCACAAAGGCGCTAGCCCTAGACCATTACCAGCTCTCCAAAGGATATTTCTGGCTGTAGGGACAGAGGTGTTCTATTGTCAACACATCAGACCCTTAGGGAAAGCTCTCAAGTCCAAGGTCCAAAGTTTTAACTACCTTCCCAAGAATTTTCCTCCTCCCTACCTGACGGCATAAAGGAAAGCCTTGCTTCATCAGGCAACTCTGTAACACAATAGTGTTTTCCCTCTTTTTCTTTCTTTCTTTTTCTTTTTTTTGGTTTTTCCAGAGAGGCTTCCACTGTGTTGCTTTTGAGCCTCTCCTGGAACTCACTCTCTAGATCAGGCTGTCCTCAAACATACAGAGATCTGCCTGCCTCTGCCTCTCAAGTGAATGCTGGGATTAAAGGCGTGTACCACCACCACCACAAACCTTGTGCTTTACTTTTCAAAAGTTTGTCACCTGGTGTCATATTGCCCACCTGGCAGAACTATGACTTTCTAGAGGAAATTTTTTTTCAAGACAGGGTTTCTCAGGGTAGCTTTCACCTTTCCTGGAACTCACTCTGTAGCCCAGACTGGCCTTGAACTCACAGAGATCTGCCTGCCTCTGTCTCCCGAGTGCTGGGATTAAAGGTGTGCACCACCACCGCCCAGAACTATGCCTTTCTAAAGAAGAAACTTGGACTTTATGGCATGCCAGGACTTAAAGTTGGTTGAGAACATGTAATGCCTCAATGAGCAGCTTGTTAGATATTCTTTGATATTGGATTAGGCCTAGTGGCTTGTTGTAAATGAGCAGTTGTTTTGCCCAGATCGTGACCTCCAGAGAGACCACCAAAGACGATCATGCTGGAATGCAAAAGCAATACAAGCCTAGGCAGGGACTTTGTCCAATACATCCAATGCAGTGGAGGCTGGAGGAAGTGCCTGTCTGTCAGCAAGCTCAGTTTTAAAAGGTAAAAATCACAAGGTTATATCATTTAGGGGTGCTATTAAGGGTACAATTCTGATTGGCTCGCTTCTAGGAGCTTTCTAGAAATCATGGCTTAATCTTACTTCTAAGGGAGTGGTTGGCTGCCACCATTTCTCATTGGCTGCCCTCAGGTGGGGACATTTTTATGGTAAGCTACCCTGGAAACCGGGAGGACATTCCATAGTCCAGCAGGCATTACCTCATGACTATCTTGTGACTCTGTACTTTTATACTTCCTGGTTTCTGGAATGTGAACTGACTGGTTTCAGTAACTAATGGCCTATTCCCAAAAGGAGGAATCTTAGCCTTTCATTTTAGGGGGAAAGCATTTTGGTCTTATTTCTACGATAGCTCATTTTGGTCTCACATTGTCTCCTTTGTAATGCTTTGGAGCCAGTTGTCTGGACAATCCTGGTGAACAAATGTGTATCCTACTGTACTAATCTCTAACAGGCCTGGAGAATATACTTATTTTGTTTTTCTTAGGCAGTCCTCTCTGAGCTAAATTCTATTTTGTAAGACTTACTATCTCCAAAGTATTATTGAATCCTTTATATCACTAATTCTACTCTTCTAGATCACACCTTAGTAGTGGAGTGCTGTCCAACACATAAGATGCCTTTTACAACTTCCCCAAAATTAGCAATGAAGGATCCTAAACATGAATGTTAAATGCAAAGTGTTGAATCTCTAGAAGGTAGTGGAGAAACTAGGCCTCTTTTAGTTTAACAACATGCTCTTGTGGAAGTACCCCCAAACAACATGACCATACAGCTGCATGACAGGCTTAGAGGCCCAGAAATACATTCATAACTGGCTTCCTAACAAGCAACCTTGAGATTCAGCAAAAGACATACACTTACACCGCACAGGGATCCACCCAGGGATGGGGAAGCACCTAACATCCCAAACATTCCAAGAATTAGATAAGGTGTCCAAATATCCCTGAATCTAGCACATACCTATTTTTGTTTTTCAGACACCCCTACATAATTGTCAGCCAATCAGGGTCCTGAATTCTGGAAATTTCCTCACCCCAACCACGGCTATTTTAAAAACCCAATCCCACCTGAGCTCAGGGTTCTCTGCTCTCCCTGCAGTGTGGGACAGACAGACCAAGCCCCAGAGCTTGAAAATAAAGTCTCTTTGCTGTCACTTACAGGATACAGCCTCTATAGTGGGTTTTTGGTGATCCCCTCAATCTGGGCATAAAACTTTCAAACAAAAAGAATGTTGAAGTTGATTACAAGTATCTTTCTACACACAGCTCTCTGCTCCCAATTCTGTGAGCAGAATCAGCCCACAGAGCAAAGTTATGCAGAGGCCTTCCCTAGGACTAGGAAGTATCAAGGACCACATGGGACCTCACAGGAAAGGAATTCTGGCTGCAGGATCCCACCCACACCTTGGGAGGCCCCACCACACTGTCTCCTGCACCTCATGATCTGCCCCACCCCATCTGGGAACAGCAGCCCCTCACTCACCATGTTGTGGTTTCCCAGCTTGTCCATGCTCTCTGCTCAGCTCCCTGCAGCAGCACTCACAGCATAGCACACAGAATCAATGGCATGTTCTCCTCTTCGAAGTCAAGCCTGAAGCTGGCTTCTAGAAGGACTCTGAACCACTTCTGACTGGTAAGTTGCCTGGACAGCCTGATTGGCTAGTGAGGCCTGAGTGAAAAGAACGCCTCCCATAGGGTTACACTATGCTCAAAAACTCAGTACAATAATTCCTAAGCCTGCCTTTCCCCACACACAAAGATATTTTCTAAATCAGCAGATATATGCATTTCAATAGCACTTTCCCCTGGGTCCAATACGTACCCTGCTATCTTATTGCACTCCATAGGCATTTTCCCTTCTTCCCCCTGGACACAATGTCACTAGTGAGTGTGCGCAGCCCACTGTACTGTGTGGTGTGGAGTGATTTCCTGTCACACAGGTGGAAAGGTTTCCAGAATATTAACAATTAAAATAGACTTAAAGATAAAAAGGAGATGTTTGTAAAACAAATTGCTAAACTCTCGTATTAATAAAAATTCCAGAGCCAGATATTGGGGAGAAAACTTAAACATCATTAAAGCAGAACAAGCCACAGCCAAGCTCACCTCACCAACTCCTCCCACGATCCTGTTTCCACAAATCCTCACACTGAATGCCTGTGAGTCCTCACTCCTGAGGGTCTCAGTTGAACTGCTTAAAAGCATCTAGTTCCTTGTCCTCATTCCGTATATACCTCTCTGCTTCCTCCCATTGCTTCCTGGGATTAAAGGTGTGTGTCCTCCCCAGGCAAGAACATGTGACCATAGGTGTCAGGATTAAAGGTGTGTGCTATCATGCCTGCCTCTGTTTGCAGTGTGGCCTTGAACTCACAAAGATCCAAATGAATCATTGCCTCCTGAGTGACAGGATTAAAGGTGTGTGTCCCAAAACTGTCTGGCCTCTATGTCTAACTAGTAGATGGCTCTGTCCTCTGATCCCCAGATAAGTCTTATTTGCTCGAGAACAAATAAAATATTTTCACAGATGTTTGTTCTGTGACTTCACATTGAGATCAGATGAACTGAATGTACTTTTTATCTAGTGGTCACAGGGAATTCAGACAACCAGAAAAGAAAGCATGAACCAGATCACAAACAAGAAAATAGGTCTTTCTCCCATCAGACACTTGGGTGATGCCTCCATTGCTTTAGGAGATTTAGTCCTAAAATTCAGAGCAAACTGTTAGCAAATGAATAATACTAAAGATTAGTCTTCATGGAAAGCTGAATGTTTTAAGCATAGTTGAGCTAGGAAGGAATGTGTTTGCAAGCACTATTTTTAGCCAGGACATTTTCCTCCATGGGCAGGTGAAAACAAAACAAAATACTGCATTATTCAAGATTCTCTGCATGAACAGGACTGGTAGAATGAACCTTCCATGTATGTAGAAAGTGGATTTTTTAGAATGTCTCACAAGCTATGGTAGAGCTAGTCCAACAATGGCTGCCTACCATAGAAATATGAAGAGATCAGTTGTTGTTCATTCCATGAGGCAGGAGATCTCAGCTGGTCTTCAGTACACACCAAAACTCTAAGGAAGTAGCCTCTAAGGCTAGTAAAGAATGAAGTTGCTATCCAGTTCTAGGACAAGCAGGCAAAGAGAGAACTTCCTTCTTTAATACCCTTTATATATGTAGGCTGACACCAAGAGCTGCTATCCAGATTAAAGGTGCATCTTATTGTTTGTTGTGAAAGGACCAAGCAGACATCATAACAAGCTACTCAGTCTTCTCTCAGAGATCAGATCTCAATTTCAATTTCTTGAGAATTAAGCAAGCAGTTTCTGGGAGGGCTATGATTTATCCCTTTCTGCACATACTCTGACTGCTTAAGGTTCAGTCAACTGTTTACTGTCTGGGACCCCTCACCAACTTAGAGCTTTGTGCATGGGTCAATGTGGATGTGCAAGGCCAGCCAGCCTCCATGACAGCTTAAGAACAGAGCCTGGGCCACTGAGTCAGCCCCCACAGTCAGAACATGCAAGGCCAGCTAGCCTCCAGGGGAGCTCAAGGAGAAAGCCTGGGACTTGTTAAAGCCTGCCCCAAAATGATAACTGTATCCCCCAACCATTAAATTCAAAGGTGACACACTCTCATCCAATCATATGATGCCAAGGCTTGTAACACCCTGATTATGGTTTTTCCAATAAAAAGCCCCTTCCTCCCCATCCTCCTTCACCTGGCTAGCCAGTGTGATGGACATGGACCAAGCTTGGGCTTCCTCGTTATCAATAAACCCCTGTTTGTTTTGCATCAGATATTGGCTTTATGGTGGTCTTGCTGGGGTCTCACTATGGGGCTACAACTGCTGATTGAATTTTTGGTGTTTTCAAGACAGGGCTTGTCTGTGTAGTCCTAGAACTCAGTCTGTAGACCAGGCTGGACTCAATCTCAGAAAATCAAACTGCCTCTGCTTACTGAGTACTGTCATGTGCATGTGCTTACTGATGTGCATGACCACCAAGCAGCTGAAGGTGGGTATCACCTGAAATGATCCAGATTAAAGATGGGTCTTTGTTGTTGTTGTTGTTGTTGTTTTCAAGACAGGGTTTCTCTGTGTAGCGTTTGGAGTCTATCATGAAACTCATTCTGTAGACCAGGTTGGCCTAGAACTCACAGAGATCCACCTGCCTCTGCTTTCTGAGTGCTGGGATTAAAGGTGTGTTAAAAAAAGGGTCTTCAACTTTAAACCTTTAATAAAAACCTCTTACATGTGCACCCAACTCTTTGGGTTTTAGTTATTCCAGACTAAGTCAGTTTGATTACCATGAATAGCCATCACAACAAATGGGACAGATAAATTGAAAAAGATTTCTTACCTGCAGGAGGCAAGGTGAGAATGGGAGTTATTTCTAAAGCAATGCTTTTCCTAAACAAAAGAATTATGAGGACATCAATTAGTTAATTTGGACATGTTTATGTAGAGTTCTCCCTCTTCCTCAGCATGCTCAGTTAACAAATACACTTCTGAACATTATTACAATGTACAAGAAAAGACATTGTTACTTCAAAGTCATGCAGAAACATATAAATTATAAAAATGATCAAAAGAAATGCCTCTGACATGTTCATCTTGCACCACAAGGTCTTACCTGAAAATCAAGCAAATGACACAGTGAACATTGACTGTTTTGTAGCCTATGTGACCTGTGAATCTTGATATTTAATCTAAAAGGTAACATACCAATGCCACAATTCTCCCATATATGAAAGATAGAGAATGCAAATACAGAAAGCATCAAGGAGAAGTCACCTAACAGCACTGTTTACTCTGCTCCTAAATGAATAGTTATGATGAGCTCTATTAACCTTAGAACAAAGGCTTGGGAGAAGGCCACAACTGCTTCCGTGCAGGACCAGAAGAGTTCACTTTAACTAGCCCTGGAAGCTGTCTGTCTCAGAGCTGTGACATTAGTGGAGAGAATCCCATGCTATGCTTTTTTAAAACTTTTGCCAGGTCCTGTGCTCATTGCATGAGTCGGCTGTTTGAAACCTGGGGCCTATGCAGGATCACTTGGCTCGGCCTGGGAGGAGGGAACTGGACCTGCCTAGACTGAGTCTACCAGGTTGATCTCAGTCCGTGGGGGAGGTTTTGCCCTGGAAGAGGTGGGAATGGGGGGTGAGCTGGGGATAAGGTGAGGGGGGCAGGAGGGGGGAGAACAAGGGAATCCGTGACTGATATGTAGAACTGAATTGCATTGCAAAATAAAAATAAAAACATTTTTAAAAAAATAAATAAATATAAATGAAAAAAAAGAAAATATCAATCCAGTGAAAAACCACACATCAGTTAAGTCAGGTGATACTTATATGAGATGGAAATAAGTTCTTAACAACTTCACCCATCTAGAAAGCATCCTCAAATTAGAACTAAGGGGAAATAACCTATAAAGTTCCAAGCACATAGATTTTTGCCAAGTCTGACAACTTTTTTCAGACTATTAGCACAACATTATATGTGACAGATAACAGCCCTAATTAAATTAATCAGCTTTTACCTAGTAACTCTCAAAGTGGCCCTAAATAAGGACTACAGATTCATTTATGGATACACTAAAATTAGAATCATCATCTTTCAGTAAGCAAGAAGATAGAAATGTCACCAAACTGGTAATTAAACTTCAGGATAATTTCAGCTAAAAAAACTTCTTTAAAAATAATTTTAATTATATGGTGTTTTGCCTGTATGTGTCTGTGCCCGGTAACTAAAGGACCAGAAGGCAGGAAATGCCTGGGACTAGATTGACAGCAAATGTTTAGCTACTTGTAGGTCCTGTGCATGGAACCTGGGACTTCAGTAAGAGAAAATCTAGTGCTCTTTTGTTTGTTTGTTTGTTTTTGTTTTTTGTTTTTTGAGACAGGGTTTCTCTGTGTAGCTTTGTGCCTTTCCTGGAACTCACTTCGGAGACCAGGCTGGCCTCAAACTCAGAGATCCGCCTGCCACTGCCTTCCGAGTGCTGGGATTAAAGGTGTGTGCCACCACCGCCCGGCTCCTAGTGCTCTTAATTGCTGAGCCATCTATCTACTCCCTCTTTTAATTTAAAATTATGGTGATACTTTATTTGTGATGAAATGTGATTTCATTTGTATGTTAATAAATAAATTTTCCTGTCAGAGCTAATAGCAAGCCAAAGCAGAAGCTGGGCAGTGGTGGCACATGCCTTTAATCTGATCACATGGCAGGCAGAGTCTGTGTGTTCAAAGACATATCCAGCATGAAGACACATGCCTTTAATCTCAATACAAACCATAGAGATCTGGAGGTCTGTATAGACAGGCAGTTAAGAGGAGGTCATTTGGTTGGGTTTACAACCATTGAAAGGCAAAACATAAGTTCAATAAAAAGACAGACACACAGGAAGTAGGTCTCTTTCTCAGAGGAAGGACAGCAGCGGCAGCGGGTGGTAAAGAGGCGGTCTTGGTCTCAGCTCTTAGCTAGTGTTCTCTGACCTCTGGGGCTTTTAACTCTGCATTTGGCTCTGTGTTTCTTAATTAATGAGACCATTACATCTACATTATTACAATTATTTCTTTAATTTGTTAGTTAAAATATATTACATCATATTTCTTCCCAAATCACTTCCAAATTCTTCCCTGTTAGGTATGAGTGAATAAATATTTTGAAATACGTGAGTACAACATGCTGTTTCCATTTGTATTAATTGTACATATATGGATAATTGGCTGATCATGTTATAATGGATGAACAATTTGGGGGGGGGGGTATGTCCTCCCTGGCTGAGAATCATTCTCTCAAATGAAGGAGAATTTCACTTTATAATCAGCATCAGTCTGACTATGCTGTGTTGGATAAGAAAAATAATCAAGAATAGAAAACTTAGAGTGAGAAATATAGTAGCAGTTAAGAGTACTGAAGAATTTTTCAGAACATCCAGCTTCAATTCCCAGTGTATATAGAAGCTAACTACTATCTGTAACTCCAAAATGAAGAACTACAATCTCTTCTGGCCTTCATGGAAACTTCCACAATAAAAATTATTTTTTAAGCTGTGTGTGGTAGTGCATTCTTTTTTTTTTACCAGAACACCAGACACAGAGGTATAAAGATCATTGTGAGTTTTAAAGCCTGTGATACACAGTACACACACACACACACACACACACACACACACACACACACACACACACACCAAGAGGAAAAGAACAAAAGTGAATAATGTACAAATAGGATAATTTTATAGTTGGGAAAACACAATACCTCTTAAAGTCATTTTCGGTCTCTGCCACTGATGGTAATAGAATCATTTTCAAAAATAAATATGGCCAAGCATGCAAGCACATGCAATTAATCCTAACCAATGGGAGAAAATGAACATTTGACAATGGTCCACCACCTTATAATGCAACATAAACTCATCAAGAGTTGGGTGTTGCCAGGAAACCAAGTCATGTTACCAAGCCATCCAAGTCATAAAGTAGGACACACACAGCAGCATTCTGTTATCAAATGGAAGAGGAATACAAGTATTTGGGCCAGAGCAAGTCCTGAATGAACATGCAACTTACATGAAGGAGTTGTCCAAATGTATTTCATTTCATTTCATGTACTAAAGCTATAGAGAAAGTCATCTGTGGAAATGGAGTCCACTATGTAATGATGCTCTAGAGAAAGGCAATGCTGGGTAATATAGTTTGAAATGTAATGATGCTCTAGAGAAAAGCATCCTGGGAAATGAAGTCCAGAATGTGATAATTTTATAGAGATTGGGACTCTGGGAAATGAAGTCCCAAAAGTAGTCATGCTGTAGAGAAAGGCATCCTGGGAAATGAAGTCACAATGGGCTCATGCTATAGAGAAATGCAGCCTGTGTAATGGAGTCCAGGATGTAATGATACTCTAAAAAGGCATCCTGGTAAATGAAGTCTAGAATGTAATAATGCTCTAGAGATAGGGACCCTGGGAAATGAAGTGCTACATGTAGTATGCTATAAAGACATTCTGGGAAATGAAGTCCAGAATGCACAGATGCTCTATAGAACGGCATCCTGGGAAATGAAATCCAGAATGCAATGATGCTCTAGGGAAAGGTGTCCTGCTAAATGAAGTCCAAATGCAGTTATGGTCTAGAGAAAGGCATTCTGGGAAATGAAGTCCATATGTTCTGTTGCCTATAGGAAAATCATTCCTGGGAAATGAATTGTAAGTGTAGTGAAGCTATAAAGAAAGGCATCCTGGGGAATAAAATCCAGAATGCAGTGATGCCTTAAAGAAAGTCATTCTGAGAAATGTAGTTCAAATGTAGTGATACTGTAGAGAATAGCATCCTAGGAAATGAAGTCTAGAATATAGTGATGCTCTAGAGAAAGGCATCCTAGGAAATGAAGTCCACATATATTGATGCTGTAAAGAAAGCATCCTTGGAAATGAAGTCCAAATGTACTGATTCTGTAGATAAAGGTATGCTCTGAAAGTGAAGTTTGAAGCATATGGATGGTATAAAGAGGAAACAGTAAGTTTCCTTCTGATCCAAAAGGAATGATGGGAAATGTAGTGTGGAATACATGGACAATACAGAGAAAAGCATCCTGGGAAATGCAGTCCAACACATAGTGATGGTATAAGAAAAAGCAATCTAGGAAATCATCCAAGAAGCATGATGGGAAATGGAGTTTCTAATACATGATTAATAAGGAAAAGCAACCTGGGAAATGAAGTCAAAAATGTAGAGACACGGCCCCCAGCTCCCATCCTGCTCCGGACTTCCCTTTTACAACACTGGTGAGTGCCCGTCCTTGCCCCAGACCCCATCCCTGGGCACCAGCCACTCCAGGGAAGACCTGCCCAACTCGGCCCCAGGTTCTGGCCACCGGGCAGGCTCCCTGCTAGCCCCACCGGGAAGGATCCCCTTCTCCAAGACCCCTGGCAGACCCTGCAGTCTCCAAGCCCTGCCCCCACGCCCATCCGCCTGAGCCCCAAGCCTCTTCCTGAGACTCAGAGGCCAGCCCCCAGCTCCCATCTTGCTCCGGACTTCCCTTTTGGAATACTGGTGAGTACCCTTCCTTGCCCCAGACCCCATCCCTGGGCACCAGCCACTCCAGGGAAGACCTGCCCAACTTGGCCCCAGGTTCTGGCCACCAGGCAGGTTCCCTGCTAGCTGCACCGGGAAGGATCCCCTTCTCCAAGACCCCTGGCAGACCCTGCAGTCTCCACGCCCTGCCCCCACGCCCATCCGCCTGAGCCCCAAGCCTCTTCCTGAGACTTAGAGGCCGGCCCCCAGCTCCCATCTTGCTCCGGACTTCCCTTTTGGAACACTCGTGAGTACCCTTCCTTGCCCTAGACCCCATCCCTGGGCACCAGCCACTCCAGGGAAGACCTGCCCAACTCGGCCCCAGGTTCTGGCCACCGGGCAGGTTCCCTGCTAGCCCCACCGGGAAGGATCCCCTTCTCCAAGACCCCTGGCAGACCTTGCAGTCTCCACGCCCTGCCCCCACGCCCATCCGCCTGAGCCCCAAGCCTCTTCCTGAGACTCAGAGGCCGGCCCCCAGCTCCCATCTTGCTCCGGACTTCCCTTTTGGAATACTGGCAGGTTCCCTGCTAGCCGCACCGGGAAGGATCCCCTTCTCCAAGACCCCTGGCAGACCCTGCAGTCTCCACGCCCTGCCCCCACGCCCATCCGCCTGAGCCCCAAGCCTCTTCCTGAGACTTAGAGGCCGGCCCCCAGCTCCCATCTTGCTCCGGACGTCCCTTTTGGAACACTCGTGAGTACCCTTCCTTGCCCCAGACCCCATCCCTGGGCACCAGCCACTCCAGGGAAGACCTGCCCAACTCGGCCCCAGGTTCTGGCCACCAGGCAGGTTCCCTGCTAGCCCCACCGGGAAGGATCCCCTTCTCCAAGACCCCTGGCAGACCCTGCAGTCTCCACGCCCTGCCCCCACGCCCATCCACCTGAGCCCCAAGCCTCTTCCTGAGACTCAGAGGCCGGCCCCCAGCTCCCATCTTGCTCCGGACTTCCCTTTTGGAACACTGACTTCCCTTTTGGAACACTGGTCTGTCTGAAACAAGTGTGCGGATAAGGCCAAGAACGAACCACAAGGAGATGGGCAGACGTCAAGGCAGAAATATATACAACAAAATGAATAGCAATACAGCATCACCTGGCCCTAGCCCTCCTCCAACACCTAGACCTGAACATCAGAAATTGGAAGAAGCAGAAGAAAACAGCCTTATGAATGACATCATGAAGAAGCTAGAGGCTTCCGTAGAGGAAAAGACAAAAAAATGTGAAGAACGCTGTAAACAACTAGAGGAAAGGGCAAACAAATTAGAAGAAATCAATAAAGTCCTGGAAGAAAACAATAAAATACTGAGAGAAAATCAAGAAAAATCAATGAAACAAATGAAGGAAACAGTCCAAGACCTGAAAAGGGAAATAGAAAAAATGAAGAAGACACAAACAGAGGGAATGCTGGAAATAGAAAATCTGAGAAAACGATTGGGAACTTCAGATGCAAGTATAATCAACAGAATGCAAGAGATGGAAGAGAGGATCTCTAGCGTTGAAGATACAGTAGAAGAAATACATTCATCAGTCAAAGAAAACACTAAAGCCAACAAAGTCATGAACCAAAATGTCCAAGAAATTTGGGACACCATGAAAAGACCAAACCTAAGAATAATAGGGGTCGAAGAAGGAGAAGAATACCAACTCAAGGGCACAGAAAATATATTCAACAAGATCATAGAAGAAAACTTTCCCAACTTAAAGAAGGAAATGCCTATGAAGATACAAGAAGCTTATAGAACACCAAACAGACTAGACCCCCAAAAAAAGTCCCCTCGCCACATAATAGTTAAACAACTAAACGTACAGAATAAAGAAAGAATATTAAGAGCAGCAAAGGAAAAAGGCCAAGTGACATATAAAGGCAAACCCATCAGAATAACACCCGATTTCTCAATGGAGACTTTGAAAGCCAGAAGAACCTGGACAGATGTAATGCAGACACTAAGAGACCATGGATGTCAACCTAGACTAATATACCCAGCAAAACTTTCAATCACCATAGATGGAGTGAACAAGACATTCCATGACAAAGCCAGATTTAAACAATACTTATCCACAAACCCAGCCCTACAGAAAGCACTAGAAGGAAAATTCCAACCTAAGGAAGTCAGATACACCCTCGAAAACACAGGCAACAGATAAAGCCACAGCAGTAAACCCCAACGTATAGAAGTACCCACACATCACCACCAAAAAATAACAGGAATGAACAATCACTGGTCATTAATTTCCCTCAATATCAATGGACTTAATTCACCTATAAAAAGACATAGGCTTACAGAATGGATACGAAAGCAGGACCCATCTTTCTGCTGCATACAAGAAACACATCTCAAATTCAAAGATAGACACTACCTAAAAATAAAAGGCTGGGAAAAGACTTTCCAATCAAACGGTCTTAAGAAACAAGCGGGTGTAGCCATCCTGATATCCAGCAAAATAGACTTCAAACTAAAATCAATCAAAAGAGATCAAGAAGGGCATTACATACTCATCACAGGAAAGATCCACCAAGATGAAGTCTCAATTCTGAATATTTATGCCCCAAACACAAGGGCACCCACATATGTAAAAGAAACATTACTAAAGCTTAAATCACATATAAAACCCCACACATTAATAGTGGGAGACCTCAACACCCCACTTTCACCACTGGACAGATCTCCCAAATTGAAACTTAACAGAGAAATAAAGGACTTAACTGATGTCATGACTCAAATGGACTTAATCGATATCTACAGAACATTCCATCCTAACAAAAAAGAATATACCTTCTTCTCAGCACCCCATGGAACCTTCTCTAAAATTGACCACATACTTGGCCACAAAACAAATCTAAACAGATACAAAACAATTGGAATAACCTCCTGTGTTCTATCAGACCACCATGGTGTAAAGTTGGATTTCAACAACAACAAAAACTACAGAAAACCTGCAATCTCATGGAAACTGAATAATACCCAACTGAATCACCAATGGGTTAAGGAAGAAATAAGAAATTAAAGACTTCCTAGAGATCAATGAAAATGAAGACACCACATATCCAAATTTATGGGACACTATGAAAGCAGTACTAAGAGGGAAATTCATAGAACTAAATGCCCACATAAATAAGTTGGAGAAATCTCACACTAGAGACTTAACAGCATACCTGAAAGCTCTAGAACAAGAAGAAGCACAGTCTCCCAGGAAAAATAGACGCCAGGAAATTATCAAAGTGAGAGCTGAAATCAATAAAATAGAAACAAAGAGAACAATACAAAAAATTAATGAAACAAAGAGTTGGTTCTTTGAGAAAATCAACAAGATAGACAAGCCCTTATCCAAACTAACCAAAAGACAGAGAGAGAGCATCCAAATCAACAAAATCAGAAATGAAAAGGGGGACATAACAACAGACATTGAGGAAATCCAGAGAATTATCAGGTCATACTTCAAAAACCTCTATTCGACAAACCTGGAAAACCTAAAAGAAATGGATAACTTTCTGGATAGGTACCACATACCTAAGTTAAATCAAGACCAGATAAACTATTTAAATAGTCCAATAACCCCTAACGAAATAGAAACAGTCATTAAAAGTCTCCCAACCAA